AAAGAAAAAAAAAAAAGTTCAGCACTGGTCAAGATATTTGCCTTGGCTAATCCAAATGAAAGGATCAATCCGCAAGATTATAAATCTGGCACACAATCAAAATCCAAATTCCTCCACATGTAGGGCCTCGCTGCAATACTCTCCCCATGCACAAAAGACAAAAAAGTATGGCTGAGTATATATCCATTGTTATTTTGCAGATCTGGTGAGTCGTGGAGCGAGGGCCATACTTACATTGAGAGCATCCCTTGCTATCAGAGCAGACGCCTGATCCACAAACACCGCAAACCCTACAGGCTGCACACAGCCACAACCCCACAAATTCACCAGCACAGGTAAGTTCCCTGTGCCTTGCATCGCATGCATCACTTCCCCCTGTTTCTATTTGCCCTGTTTTGCTATCTCCTTCGCCCTCAACATGTGTCCCTGTCCTCACCTGATGACATATTGAAAGATATTGCGGAGTGGATGTTTGTTTTCATTTTCTTTTCTAAACCACCAGTTCACACGTGCCTACATTGCCGAAGCCACCTTCCAAGGCTCGCAAGCCTCGAACGGTTTTCTTTTTTTTAAAATAAAATTGGCCTTCTGTGTTCACTACCGGCCCGGGCCCGGGCCCAAAGCATCATGGCCTTACTGCCTAAACTGGCAAGAGCCCAGCTTAGCCTTGGGGTGAATTGGTGTTTTAAACCACCAGTACATCTGAAAAAGCAGATTGAGCCTCTCCTAATGAATCGGAGGCCATGAACCGAGATTCGTTTTATTGGCGGGTCAATGGCTTCCAAAATTCTGGGAGAGGCTCAATCTGCTTTCTCGGATGTACTGGTGGTTTAAGAAAAAGAAAAGAGTTTTTTCAATGACCGGCCGTCTGGACCGACCGGCCACCCGGCATTATGCTCAAGGGGGTCTGACGCTCGGGATACCCAGGCATGGGTCCCAGGCATGGGTAAAAAAAAAACAAAAACAAATAGCGTTGGGGGTTTTCCGCGCCCTCGAAGGAGCCCAAATCCGGGCTCTTTTCTTTTTTCGAGTGTTGGCTTTGAAGGGGGGGCAAGGGGGGTGTAAAGGGGGGTGCCTTGGTGTTATTCGGTTATTTTCTTTTGTATTTTCAGTTCCGTGAGGAATTTTGATGTGACCCTCAGCCAAAAGTTGTTTGTATTGCGATTCTACAGAGCATTTTTTTTCCAGATTTTTTTGGATTTCTTTTTTTTTTCGGTGCTGGGGCCACCCGGGWCCCTGTCCGGGGGTCATGCCCAGCCGGTCACCCGGGCATGTTTCCGGGCACAACTTGGGTGCCCGGGCGCCCAGGAAAACGTCCTAGGTTTCCAAAAAAAAAGTGTACCCACAGACTGATCGAATACATCATGGCACCAACAGCTTGGATCAATACATGAATTGCCGGATGCATGAGCCTACATCACCTCGAGCTCACCAATTGCACCTGCACTCATTCGGATGGACCACAAGCCAACCTGTATCTTTTCCCTAGAGATACAGGCATACACTTCACTGCCCATGCAGGCACCATTTCCATTCGTTTACTTTCCTCGCTGGCCCATCCCTTTCCAATGTCAGAAGTCATTTCAGAGCAGTTTTAGATTTTCCCTTCTTCACTCTTTTGCCTCCTCCTTTTGTCTCCTTCTTTCTTCCACGTTGCTCCTTCCATCTTGTGTTCCGCAGTAGATCCGTGTCTTTCCGTGTCAAAAAAAAACTCAACATGCTCGGCACTCATCAGACTGGAAATCACCAGGATCGTCAACTACTATTACACCAACGAACAAATGCAACCGGCGGCGCAATCTCAACCTCGGCTGCCAACACACTCCAACCAACAACACAGGAAAGTACATGCTGCACCAGTCTGCACAAGTCATCCTTACCTCAAGGGCCAAGCAATATAGGCAGTCGAAACACCTTGTACAAAAGGTGCGGGCCTTCGCAAATCTATATGACAGTGTATATGCAGGAGAAAGAGAGGGGCAAAGCGAGGGCGGAACACAAGGGGATGGGAGAGGAAGACAACGGGAGACAAGCACAGCAACAATGGCGGGACTGAAGAGAGCGGAGGGAGGGAAAAAGGGCAAGGTTTGGGGAGAAACTTACATGAGGTGATCGTGAGGTGAGTTGCACTTGTGAACTTTCATATCCATCAAAGGGGCGAAATAAAATGTACAGCTCTCTATCTTTGACATCTGGAGGCAGACCCGATAGAAAAAGGGTCCGGATGACTTCATCACTACCACGCTCCTCCTTCTTGGGCGTTTTGTCGCCCATCTTGTTCCACTTCAAAAATAACAGGCTCGGCTTTCAAACAACAGAGATGGTATGGGGTGCTGTGTGTCCACGTCCCAAAGACAAGAGCCTAATTGCCTGCTCAAGTTCGTTGAGGACTTAAAGATGAGAAGAATACAGCCTGGCAAAAAAAAAAAAGGTACACAACGAAACAGAAAAAGAGAAGTGAACGCCACCACCTCGTTTCAGCTCTCGCTCAAACCTCGCATGAGAACAGTTCAATCTACTGTGAAATGGAAGCCAAAGAAAGAAAAAAGAAAAGAAAAGAAAAAAAAACGGAAAAGAACATGGTCAATACAGCAAAGCAGCACAGACACCATGCCCAATTCGATAATGTCTAGTCACAGAACAACAAAGAACACTATTACCAGCCACACAGAGCAGAGATGATAAAGTAAAATAAATATTAGGAAGAAACGCCCGCACACACACACACACACACACACACACACACACACACACACACACACACACACGCACACGCACACACACATTTTCGTTATGGATGGTTGGTTATGATTTGTGGAGGGAATGAGAGAGAGAATTTGGGGTGCTTTTTTAAACAAAAACAAACAAGCTATCACAGCACATGTTCGGAGTCGGGTGGAAACACGGATTATCCTCCCCCACCCCCCCCCATCTTCTGACAAATTACAAGCTTCGCCACCGCATGTCCTTTTGTTCGGTCCTTTTTTTTAGACTTCAGAGCAACGGCCATGCATACGCTTTCCCCCAATTCCTCCTTTGACTAAGGAAGCCCATCATCTGTGGACTCACATCTCGTGCTCATGCCCCATTTTTACTTATACAGGAGCCCGTGTTTGTTCTGACCTTGCTATTACATTCTTTTGCAGGGGGGTGAGCACCTGGCCGTGTACAGAGCTGCACAGCAGCAATTCTACAGTAATCTCCAGCTCCTCCGGCCTAGACTCGTCCGCAGAAAAAAAACAATACGACCAACACGTTACACGACTGGTGACTTTCCAAATTCAATTCAGGCTTACTACTGCATTTCGCAGCAGATTTAGGACCTGAGGGGTCTATAGTCCCCATACTCGGTACTCGGATGGACCATGTGATTGGCAGGTTGAGAGGGAAGAACAAACAGAAACTTGAGCTCAGGAGAGATGGAGAAGGGGAATAGAAAAACGTAATCTTCCAGATCACAAACAGGTGTCACACAGATTACCCTTTCCCTATTGAAAAAAAAAACGAGGCATACATCATACCTGCCAAATGGGGAACTTAATGTGAACTTTTGGATGGGTGACACACATCGTGCACACTACCTTATTGCCCAGAAAATGAGATCTTTGGCGACCATCTCCCGAGCATCATACTTGCCGATCATATCATTTGAGGGCTACACAACGGATAGATCCTGCAAGGAGTTATTCTAGGGCAGAGTTACATCGCTGACTCTGTTGATCAACCCTTAAACCACCAGTATTCTAGGGCAGAGATACATCGCTGACTCTGTTGATCAATTCTTAAACCACCAGTACACGCCCCTGGCCTTGCCGAAAAGTAAACTTGTCGCCACAAGAGAAATTTGAGGCCCGGGGAAGGCCCGGTAGTGCGTCGGGGGGGGAAGAGGTGGGGCCAGCAGAAACAAGGCAAATGGACTGTTGTTTTGCCCGCTGGTACACATTCAGCATGTGACTGTGAAAACACATGCACAGACGACGCCCAGCTATAGCAAAAAAAAAAAAAAAAAAAAAAAAAAACTGAAACAAAAGGAACAGAGTGGCAAAACGCCCGCCACATGGTGGGCATGCACTATACGAGGGCAGAAAGCCCTCAAACTTCAGGAAAAAGGGCAGAAATGCCCGCTGTAGGTAAGTATGCAGTGATTCACAGGTTATGCATCCGCGCCCATTCTGTGTCTGCATACGGGCGCAGAAAAGTAAAGTGCTCCTGCCTCGTTGGCACCGAAAAGAAAGGAAAAACGGGGAAAAAAAAAAGAAAAGAACTTGTTTTTTTTTTGAGTGCCTGCCCGAGGAAAATGGGCAGTGCTGTAGGAATCCAGGTGTGTTTCTGGCTCAGGAAGTGCAAACTATGACTCACRCGTGGACCATGTGGCAGCACAGTTGTCAGAGGACAAACGAGGTGCCGTCAGATCTTGCAGACAATCTCCTGTCGTAAGGTCCTCTGCTTTATTTTGTTTTCAGCTGTACGGAAAAGTTATATACTACTGCTCGCTCGTTTTGCGAACAGTCAAACATTCATGATGAGGGACCTGCATCTGGCACCCCATGTGTGCTACATGCGGGGGCTCTCTCCTGTGGGTGTTTGGCTGGGTGTCAAGGAGTGAAAACAGCGGCCTCCTTTCATTCCATCGCCTGACAGCAGGTCCAGCACAGAGCTACCACCCCAATTTTTCAAGAGCTGGTGCCCATGGCTTTCAGGGTCGGGTGTACTGGTGGTTTAAATCACCAGTACATTTAGGCTCGTACATTTAGGGTCGGGTGTACTGGTGGTTTAAACCACCAGTACATTTCCCAGACATTTCACTACGCCGCACAATTGCTCGTAACCCATCTGGCGGGATCTACCAGCCTGCCGGCTTGCAAAATACACATCCAGGCAGGTCAGTACATCCGGCCACACACGGCACAGGCACTGCCGCGTCGAAGAAAAAGGGCTGGGAAAAGTGCTGGCAGTTTAACACGAAACATTCTAGTTGTGGCAAGGAATACAAACGGTGAAGGAGATGTCATAACCTCTTCCTAGGCTTCAACATCAATGCCAGAAGCAGAAAGAAGGGAGAAAGAATGCCATTCCAATCACCATGACTGAGTAAGACATGCAGAGAGGGGAGGAGGAGGATGAGAGAAGATTCTGAGAAAGAGCAAGCGCAGGAGGGGAAAAAACAGGGAAAGAATGGAAACACAGAGGTGTCTACAAAAACCTCCAATGGCACATGACCAATCTTACAGGGATAGCATAGAGGAAACCAATGAGCACAGGTCAACTAGGAGTAGGAGGAAGAGGGACAGAAGAAGGAGTAGAGGGCGAAGAGAAGGACGAGGACGTCTAGAAGTGGTGACTTTATTTGTTGGACCAAAAACGATGAAAAGAGCAGGTGACACCCAGATCTATCGGAACCCGTCGTGACCATCTATCTAATCTGTAACGTGCGTGACAAGGGGTTTGATTCCGGATAACTGATGACCAGATCATTAAATAGAAAAACCAAACCGAATTTGACAGACAAAGAAAATCAACTACCCTCCAAAAATCAGTCCAAGCTGAAACCTTTGGCTAAAAGTTTAAAACCCTTCTGCAAAAGAGCTAAAAAAATAGCTAAAAAAGAGCTGAAATTCGTACTTTGGAGGCCCAAGTTTCGGGCATGTGGCCCTGCCCTTGCAAAGAGCAGTCACACTTACACACTTGCCCTTGCAAAGAGCAGTCACATTTACATACTTGACCAGCCATGGGTGCTCTGGAAAAAAAAAAACAAAGGCTCAAGATGCAACCTTGGGAAGCCAACGCCAGGACTGGGACCATACTACATTGTATTACCACCCCGCTGTATCACATACATCCATCTCGCGTTCCATCAACATGTGCCTCCTTTTCTTTCCCAGAGGCTCAGGGGACTGCCTCGTTTTCTTTCCCAGAGGCTGAGTCCCCTGACAACCACGTGGTTTATTTTCTATTTTTAGCCCTAACAACTTCTGCGCTAGGGAACCTTTACACTGTGAAAGCTTTCGAATTATGGCAAGGTGAGGGTGAACTGGTGATAAGATGGGAGGAGAGGTTCTATAGGAATTGGAGATTGAAGTGATTGGACAAAGGGGGACGAGTGTTCACAAGTCGTGAAAGCGTAAATCAGGTGTGGAGAGATTTTAATGAGGGGCGGGGGGGAGGGGAGGGGAGGGGGGGCCAGGGGGAAGCAGGGGGGGGGGGCGTGAAACAGAATGAACGAAAGAAGTCGGTAGAAGGAGGGACGAACCAACGGGGACAAATAGAAAGGTGGATGGAGGGAAAGGGGAAGGGGAGACGTATGGAAAAAAAAATGTACACCGCACACACAAACGTATGCACACCACATTCACAGTGAAACGTATGCACACCACATTCACAGTGAAATGGGCATTGCGATCAAATAACATACATTGAGGATGTCAATGCATGCCAGCAAAAGACCACAACGGCAAAAATCACCACCGAACTTTGGGACCTTTGAAGGAGGAGGGAGAGAGGGAGGGAGGGAGGGAGGGACGGACGGAAGGAGCACCACATCATGGGAAGGAAAAGGACCTCGAATGCAGACCATTTTCAAGGCTATATATACCAAGGTCATACGTAGCAGAAAAAGAGTACAGCGGAAAACCGCCGACGTATTCTTGCAACTTTGAGAAAGAGAGGGCGGGCGGGAGGAGTATCACACCATGGCAAGGAGAAGTAGCTCGCTCTTAAAAGCTAAGCATGCAGCTGTCACTTGTGTAGCAATCAAAAAAATCTTCACTTAAAACTTTTACCCCACGGACACCTGCACCGCTTTACAAACCAACGACCTGTTTCAGCTTTTGCGTCCAAGGGAGGCGGTCCATCAAGTAGGATAAGTCATATATATCGTCACAAGTAGAATGTAAGTCGTAGCCGGATCAAATTTCAATCGATGTTTTGTAAGTTTTATATATATATATATATATAGAACATAAAGCGAACAAAAAACACATGCATATACTCAGTATCACTACCAAATTCATTCATCTTTTCCATTTTCATTATGCAATTGTCACTGTCATATGTTACTATAAATAAATCGGTGCTCGTGTATGCACGCATCAAGTTCCAAGTTCTGTCAATTCACAGGAGAGATGCACATTCAACGAGATGCAAATGCGCGGCCAAGTCCTCGTCATACCGTCTTCACCCGAACAGAACGCCCAGTCATTATAGCTCTATTTGGGGCAACTTGCAGCAGTCTAGAGACAGAGGTAACGACCAGGGGTTCTATTCGGATGAAGAAGGTAGGCGTAGCCATTACGAGAGTGTGGGATTCTCATGACCATTTTTTTTTTCTTGAGGCCTGCTGTGATTGTGACTGTCCGCTTTTTTTCAGGGAGTGCAATTCAGAGCTACTCCACAAGAACGGCTGGGGGTGGTCTCTGCTACCTCAAAGTTCAAGGTTCCTTTCTGAGAGGGAATGGAGAGATTCTTTTGCTGTTGTTGTTGTTGAAATAGGAGAGAACGGAGAGATTAGTTACCAAGAAATACTGGGGGGGGAAAAAAAGAAAAGAAAAAGAGATTACTTACCAAGAAATACTGGGGAAAAAAAAAAAAAAAAAAAAAATACTGAAAGCTGCGGTGAGGATCTCATCTCATATGGGGTTACCTGGTTGGATGATGGCTGTATTGGTCCGGAGAGAACTAATGGGTGGTTAAGCTGTGTGAGTGAATGGGCAAGTGGCTGGGTAATGAATGGGGCACATTACTATACTTTGCGTTCCCACCAACCAGCTGCAGGAAATAGGCGGTGATGGGCAGTAATAAGAAAGGTAACTAGGAGGGAGAAATAAGGGAAGAGTAGGGGAGGAACGGGAAGCGAGTGGGACCGAAGACGGGTTGGAGCGAGAACGAGCGTTGAGGAAGAGGGAGTCGAGACGGGGGAGAAGATTTGGGAAGGGAGGGAATCGCGGAGACAGGGCGCGAAGGAGGTGGGGACTATGGAGGGATAGGATGAGGCAGTGTGGAGGAGGGCGGGTCGGGAGAGAGGATGTAAGGGCGAGTAGGGAGGAAAGGGGAGTAGCGAGGAAAGAGGAGGAGGAGGAGGAAGGAATGGCAGTTGGAAAGAGTAAGGACTGGAATAGGAAGGCAGCTTAAAGAGAGGGTGGAGAAGAGAGGGCTTTGAAGTCGGGGGGGGTCAGCTTGTGGGGGGGGGGG